CATTGGGAAATGGAGCTTTTTGAAGAGCTCGAGAGAGGAAGGATCAGACCATCGAAAAAATCACTTTTACTATTATTAGTATATCCTGTTTACTCCGGTCAACATCTAAATGGCGAACAGTGTTGCTTCCCGAGCGGTGTTGGCTGCCAAGAACACAGTGATGGTTCGTGAGAGTATCGATAAGAAGGAGGACGAAGCCGTGAAGTATTGGAGTGAACGCAAGGAGAGTAAACAAATGTTGATCTAACTATAGTTGCCAATTGTCGGAATATGGATTACATATCTGGCATGTCGTTTAAGAATGAATTCCTCGAATAACGAGAGTTTGGCTTTGTATCACTTCCCGTTGAGATTTACTGCGGTACTGTTGAGATGACGAATAACTAGTGGGTTCGTCTTATTAGTTGTTATTTAGGCATCGAGAAGGAGATAGGTGACCTAAGTCGTCAAGCAGATGAGTACAGGAGAATGTTGGATGAGATTGACAAGAAAATCAGCCGCGGAATCGGACAGGGTTCCCAGGAGGCTGTTGTGGGAGAGAAACTCAACGTAGTAATGAATGCTACGGACGAGTTGTAGTAGATAATCGAAGTGGACTCCTGTCCTTATTCCTATGAACATCATATCTTATGAGTGAATTGTATATCCGATATAGTCTAGCTGGTTAGGATACCTGGCTTTCACCCAGGCGACTCGGGTTCGAGTCCCGGTATCGGAAGTTATTCCTCTATCTTTTTAGGAGTTTCCTGTTGATGTCGATACTGCGAAACCAGTCGAGTCACGAGAGCGCCTGGCCGCCCAATTGAGGCTACTCGAAGTCTTTGGCTCTTCTGAAGCTATAATCTGTGAGCAAGGAACCTGCAAGCTAAGTACTAATAGTGTGCTAGGCTACCTCCACTGATGATGTTACGGAGACTCCGCGGTTTAGTCCCTCATTTCAGAGCTGGTACCGCGTCACCACGCGCAGATCGAATCGACAGAGGGCTGGGCAGTCGGAGACTTTGACTTGACGACGTCTGTTGAGGATAATTGGAAGAAGCTTGCATCCATGTTGGGGGCCTAAATTAGCATTTATGCATAAAAATGTTGGATTTTGAGTTGTCCGACAATCGGGATATGTAGTGTATTCCAACTTGCTGCTGACGAGTTGTAATGCATGATAGAGAGCGCGATATCGTATATACACCCCGTGTAACTGGTTTTCGGCCTCTCTAGAGGCGAGAGCCATCACAAGAATCTAAAAGACACTGTATGGGGAATCCGCAATTGCTTACAGTGAAATGTATCAGCCAAGTATTGACCCTGTAGATCACGGAATCGGCAGAGGCACCCGTGTATTGCGACTCGGAGGCAATAATTGCCTGGCAATTACGTTATTTCTTATAATGTGAGTAGGCCATGAGAGGCAGTTGATGACGAGCAGTTGAAGGAGACGCCATGATTCTCCTTTGTAGGTTTGAGACTACTCAGGGCCTAATTCTAATATGATGATGCAGACTATCGCGATGATTCATGCAGTATTTGGAAGAGGTCATCGAGAGCTTCGAAATGTAGCCCGGAACTCTCACATGCTGCGGAAATCCAATAGTCGGGCCCTTTTCTGCTGCATTGCTCTGTAACAGCATTTGGTCCTCTCAGTTATGCTCATGCTTCTGAGACTAATAACTCAGTCGTTGTGTTGTCCCGAGTTGGAAATCATTACTGAAGTCTGGTGACGGCACTGTCATTTGACGCTAGTGAGCATGCCCAAAGCAAACATACGGTGTATAGGTAAGAATACGGCGGGCGCATTTGTCGAGGACGAGACGTGTCTCTCGGACTACTGCCTCAAGAACAACTATTCCAGTGTTTCCTAGTAACCTTTCTACATCATATAGACAATTATATGAGAGCTCTTCTAATCAAGCATGAATCAACGCACTCGGAAGTGAACCACTGCCGTTGCAATGGCAATTACAGGTCGCTTCTGAATGCTTTGGTCACTGAAAAAGTCTTTTCCTAGACTGTGAGTCCCATCTGAGTCCCCGATAGAGATGTACTCTCCCTATAAAAGGTCTCATAGCGGCTTCAATTGCTGATAACTTTCCCTTCGTATAATGGCTCGCATCATTCAAAGGGCTGCTATGATGTTGGCTGTACTGTCAGTCAGCCTCGCCTTGCAATCCGCTAAACCCAGAACAAGGGTACAAGGGCATTTTCCAGAGAGGCTCTCCTTGAATCAATTCATTCAGGTTGAGACGAAAGTGCAACAGTTGGAGGCCACTGTAGGTGGATTGAAAGACCAGGTTGCCTCTCTGAATGACCAAGTCTCGGCTTTGTCCGCTCACACTCCTGAGGTCCGACGTCGTCGCCATGGTTGCTCACCCTGCTTGTAATTCGTCCCTTATAGATCCATGCTTCCGACTCACTCTGTACAAGCACCTCACGTAATGGGTTTTTCGGAGTGACCGCAGCCTATGGTGGTTCTTATATGGCTGAGTGGTCCGGCGAAGATGGAGTTGGGGATTCTATTTACGTTGAATGGTGAGGTCAATGGAACGTAGTCGTGTGAGCAATTTTTTGATAGGAAAAACAACGGCGGGACGGTAAGGGTTGACTGCTTTAACGCCACTGCCAAAGTAAGCAGCTCCGGAGAACTCAGAGGAGATCCTAGGGATCTCGAGGGGAGGCTCTCTGCTGTCTTTGGTGCTCATGGTTTGTTCGATGCAATCAAGGCAAGTTTCGAGGAGGGGATGACGAAAGAGAAATGTCGAGATCTGGTTGGAGTAGCCCCGGGGTCAAGTAATGTCAATGAATTCTTATCGAGCAAGGTAAAGGCCGCTGAGAACCTCATAGCCCAAAGTGATACGAAGGCCAAGCGATGATCTGTGAGTGTTTATGTCATCATGAGCTGTTATGTTGGTGTTCGTTGAAGATGTTGTGGTGTTACGAGTTTGTGACACGACGGCATCTAGATGCCTAGTGCAGTTTGTCATTAAGGCTAGGGAGTAAGACGGGCGGAGGAAAGGTCCGTACCGCTCGGTAGTCAGTTTTGTTGCCGAGAATCTTCAAAGCCTGTTCACTACATACACCGCTAACTTACCGCTGTCTTCGTTTGGATCACAACTACTCCTGCGGAGCTTTATCGAGCAAAATATACCGTAAACTGTGACGTCATAGCAATTGATTATTCGTGCCGACTTACTCAACAGTTTGGAAACTAGGTGGGAGTCAACATATATTCCAACACTGAATATTCCCAATATGCCCATAAACAGACCGATTGATCGGCTAATGAAGCCATCTGACCCCTCAGCTGAACCAGCTCAGCTAATGTTGTTATAACTTCAATACTTGAAGGTGTGAGCAACTCGAGACAACTGAGATCTTATGACAGCACGCGCGAGCAGCTACCCATGTACCCTATTCGCACATCGCGTGAGAAAGTAATGAAGCCCTGCAAGCGGGGAACCCCTAAGTAGGTAGGATTTCGGTAGCTCGTGCAGAGGATCATGCGCTCAGCGATACGAGGTGTAGCTGATGGTCAATACAACAGTTCATCAGGGCTTGTGGCTCAACGGTAGAGCATCTGACTCCAGATCAGACGGTTGTCCGTTCGAATCGGGCCAAGCTCATTTTACTAGAATTAATAGTAGGTGTTACATGAGCACACCCCTAGTACATTGAATATCCTATCTACACCCTCCTCTAAGCTAGCCAATCATGACCGTCCTGAACTGCTCATAGATGTTTTACCGCTACCACTTACAAAACACCAAACTCTCAAACTAGCGAAATGACAGTGATGACACTTGCGCTGAGTTCGCGGTCTCATGATCAGTGATGACTCATCACTCTATCGTTTGCCAAGCTCACGTCGGATGGACCAATTGACAACTATACTCAAGCCAATGACTACAATAGGTAATGATAGCAGTACTACAAGTAGCAACAATAAATATGTCCCTGTCTGATGCCGCCTTTGACACACCAAATACACATTCCAAGCAATCTTATGTGGATCAAAGTAGGCGAATGACAGCAGCCGTACTCGACATATAGAAATGATGCTATAAATAATAACGACAGAGTAACCGCCTCGCGTATCCTATTAGTACATGCAAGCGGTTTTTAGAACCGAAATTGTTAAAAAGTTGAGCAAACCACTACTATGGCGGCTTCAACCGTCCTCAACTGACAGGGAGCTCCACCTTAGTAATGAGGACAGCGGACGACGAGCATTAGGCGCCATTGAGATCAATACAACAACGATGCGCTACGCATCAGGAGCGCCTACCTATGGCTACTCGAACGGCCGCTACAAGAGTTCAGAAAGGAGTGGTATGCAGGAAGGAGACGATTTAGGAAAATAATGATTGCCATCGTTAAGATAATAATAAGTCACTGAGTATTGTCGGTGGTGACGAAATGTGCATGAGCAACAACAAGTAAGATGGATCAAAACGTCTGTAATACTACTACTATCTAATACGACCCATACAATATTACACTTCCACACAGTGTCGGACGCTAATCTGACCAAATACCCGACATCATTCTTAGCGGAGCGATGCATTTGCTGCTCACCTGTTTGGAAACCTTGTCATTGCATGTACAAAAAGAATGATGAAAATTGACGATCGTTACAAAGATACCTAGCAGACAAAATACCACCCAAGCTCGACAGTGTTGGAAAATTTCATATATTCGCTTTTCTCAGCTGAGCTCAG